GATTCCAATGCCAGTCTGTCAGATGTTTTGGGATCTTGGAATACAGTATGCTTTAGAAATAGAAGAGATGACAAGGGAATTATGCATGATGCGGTGGCGTATGTACCTGGCCTAATGGTTAGAGCAGGCATGAGGAAGACTGGGAGTCAGGACTCCTGGGTTCTGTGCCCATTGCAAGAAGGGGAGTGTTGCCCACTGGTTAGGGCAGCAGGACTCCTGGGCTCTCTTGTCTCTAAGAGGGAGTGTGGTGCAAAGGCTTGTTTAGGGGACTGGCAGTGAGGACACATAATTAGTCGTATTAAGATAGTGCCTAGAGGCCCCCGACTGAGCTCAGGGCTTCGTTGTGATGGTGCTGCACAGACCCCAGCTGAGATCAGCGCCCCCTTGTGCTGCATAGACACAGCGCGAGACAGTCCCTGCCCTGAAGAGCTCACAGTCCAAAGGGTAGAAGGGGAAACTGAGGCACAGAGCAGGGCAGGGACTTGCCCCAGGTCACACAACAGGACTCCTGCAGTCTGCCCCTGGTTCTGGGAAGAGAGTGGGGGTCTGGTGGTTAATGCAGGGGGCAGGAAGTCAGGACTCCGGGGATTTTCCACACCTGATTCTGCCACTGACTCACTGTGTAACCTTAGGTGCCTTCCGCACTCTATGCCTCAGTTTCCCTATAAGTGAAAGAGGGTTAAGTGCTTTGAGAGCCTCTGGCCCAGGCATGGAGGGCACCAAGGAACCTGGCTGGGGCATAGTTTAAGCTGCACGTCAGGGTTTCGCTGAGAGCTCCCCAGGGCCTCCGTGTCTGAGACAGATCGCAGGCGCTTTTAATGCATCCCCAGCGAGCACGGCAGACCCAGAGCCAACCCCAGGCAAGGAGAAGGCAGCCTTTGATACCGCCATCAGTGCTGATGGAGAGGACCTTGCCGCAGGCTTTGGGGGAAGGGGGGTGGCTCATGGTTCTGAGGCAAGGAATTGGATCAGGGCTGCTGGGCACCCCCCCTCCCTCCCCCATCTGGGGAGAATTTCAGCCACTCCCCCAACCTCATTCCAGCACTGTATTATCCAGCCTCATTCATGGAGGGGCATCTCCCATCCCTCCCCCCAACACGCACACTGTCCAGCTCCCCTTCCTTCCCTCCCATCTCCCCCCTGGAAAGATCTCTTTGTCTTCAGCCCTTTCTTTCTTTCTTTCTTTCTTTCTTTCTTTCTTTCTTTCTTTCCTTCCCCTCCACGCCATGCTCCTTTCTCACACATGCACCCCCCGTCCTCAGCTGGACAGATAAACCCCTCCCTTTCTGCCCAGTGCCCAATCCCCTCTAGCAGCAGCCGTGCTGAGAGCATGCTGCCAGCTGGGGTAGTGGCTAACACACAGGCCTGGGAGCCCTTGGCCGAGTCCCTGCGCCTCACTTCCCCTGAGCGTGAAAACGGGAGCAGGAGTTTGCCTCTAGGTGCGCCGCTCTCTAGGCTCTTCCATGGCTCCCATCCCGGTGGCGTCCGGGCACCTCCGATGAGTAACTGTGACCACGGCGATCTCTCTCCTGCCCTTCCCTGCAGGCACGAAGGCGGCGTGAGACTGAATTCCTCAAGCGCTTTGAGGTCTTGGGGGCAAAATGGCAAAGGGGCCAGTTGCAGCCATTGCCACTGGCTCAGGGTACCCAGCCTTTGCCCTTCATAGACATTAATTAATTCTTGTGACCCCCCCCCCCCCACAGGGCAAGGTATTATCCTTCCCTATCTTGGGGTAAACTGAGGCACGCAGTGACGACGTGGAGTGCACCAGCTTCCCTTCTCCAAATCAGTGGCAGAACCCAGGAATCCCAGCTCACAGTGACCTGCTGTAGCCACTAGAGCACACTCCCCTCCCGGAGCTGGGGCTAGAACCCAGGTGTCCGGCATCCCTGCTGTAACCACTAGACCCACTCTCCTCCCAGCATGGAGAATATTATGATTTTTTAGAACATGGTAGCGCCTAGAAGCCATGATTGTGGACTAAGACCCCCCGCCTTGTGCTAGGTGCGGTACATTTTATTGCTATTAGGTGTATTAGGGTAGTGCCCAAAAGCCCCAGTCATAGACTAAGACCCCCCTTGTGCCGGGCACTGTACGTTTTTATTGCTATTAGGTGAATTGTGGTAGTGCCCAGAAGCCCCAGTCATAGACTAAGACCCCCATTGTGCTAGGCGCTGTACATTTTAGTGCTATTAGGTGTATTGCGGTAGCACTTGGGAGCCCCAGTCACGGGCTAAGACCCCCATTGCGCTAGGTGCAGTACGAACACAGAACACAAAGGCAACCCCTACCCCAGCCCATAAATCCTGTTTCCCAGTCTCTCCTCTCCTCCCCTCCCCCCCCCGCCCCGTTCTATCCAACTAGGCCATGCTGCCTGTGAGCTCGGCTGCCCCCCCCCCCACACACGTAGCACACCGCTCCCGAGGGTGGCGTCAGTCTGCTACACAGCATTGGTCCTTAGCCCGTTT